ATGTAAGCTGTTCCAAGTAAAGCTGCCTTTTGGAATTGACTGATGGTGATTTTGACAATGGTCTTCAAGTGGTACTCCAGATGTTTTGGGATTGCACCTAAGGCGCCTATAACTATTGGTACTATTATTATTATTAATATTATTTGTATATCCCACCTTTATTTGTACAGCTCAAGGCAGCATACATAATGCTTCCTATTTTCCCCCCAACAACCCTGGGAAGTGGGTTGGACAGCGAGAGAGTAAGTGGCCCAAAGTCACCCAGCCAGCTTTCATGTCTAAGGGAGGATTAGAACTCATAGTGTTCTAATTTCTAGTCCAGCATCTTAACCACTACACCAAATTGGGTCTGTATTAAGAGGTGTTATAATTTTAATTAGTAGATTTTCTAAGCTGATTGTTGAAGAAGATAGGAAAGGCTGCATTTTAAGCCTTGCTGTCAGAATAGGTAACATTCTTGCATTCATCTCATATTCCTGAGAACAAATAAATAATTTTTTTCCCAACACCTGTATATTAAGCATGTTATGTTACATGTCTCAATTTAATTTAGTGCTATTTAGCGTTCTAGTAATCCACCCCAGTTGGAATATACTTTCTTTTTCTTTGCACATAGGAATTCTTTTTGGCTAGGTTATTTCCCGATGCATTTGATATTCTAAGATTAAAGTATGCGATATGAATGCTAATACAATTCATGTTTCTGTGAAGCTTATTGCTTTATGTGATTCAAATGTGAATACAGTCAAGAACCACTTAAAGACTGGATGTTTGCTAAGTGATAAGGGTTTTATTAAACAGATGGAACCAGAAATGACAGAGGGTTTTTCCCCCCCACAAAGCAGAAATTCAGTACTATCTCTGATAATGCCCAATTATCACATACATATAAGCAGAAATAACTGTTAGCTAAAGTTAATTTTTTAGAGAGGCTTTACACATTCCATCTATCTCCTGACTGATACAGATCTCAGTGTCTGCTAGGTATGAATTTGACAAGCTGTACACTTCCTCAACAAGGTGATACTAGGAAAAGGGAAGGAAATCAAATAAGATACTGGCTTCCAAATTTAAATAAATTAAACAATTTAATATTGCGCCCTTCATTCAGGAAACAAATAGGATTATATATGGGATTCAAGATTCATTAATTATTTTTTTTATATTTTATTCTAAATCGTATAATACTGAAATAGATCAGACTTGATGTCACTGACTCACAGCAATAATCTAGAATTACAAGTATAAGAATTGGGACTTTAGGCCATGTTCAGCACAAGATTGATTTACAGTTTGAGATTTCCCACATTCCATGAACCCAATACATTTGTGTGTGTATATGTTATTCTTAAGAGGGTAATGTTATGGTGCTAGCAATGTGTAAGAGTTTTAATCTTGTGTTTTTATTATTTGTGTATTTTTTTTGTTAGCCTAGGGTTGTTTTATATAATACAGGTGGCCATATAAAAGTTTCAAATAAATAAATGTATCTAACACCAACACTATTCACTATACCTCTCCAAACCTTTTTATCCTTACAAACCACCAGTTTCCACCATCCCATTAACTGCTTCTTAAATTGCCCTTTGCTTTTTAAACTTCTTACCTCCCTGGTTTAAAGATCTTATTAATTCCATCCAGCCCCAATTTGCTTCATCTTTTCTTTCCTTTCAGCTCATTCATTCTTCCTTCATATATTTGTTTTATGATTTTATCCTTATTCCTTCTCACTATATGAACAAACCACCTCAATGTAATGCTTTCATATTGGCCACTTACGTTTGTATTCAATTAATTTTGTATTAATTCCTGACTCTATTCCCCTTGATTTTACACACATACTGCTTAAGAATCCCATTCCCACCGCAATCAACATATTACAGGTAGTCATTGAGTTACAACCATTTGTTTAGTGACTGTTCGAAGTTATAGTGGTGCTGAACGAATGGTACTTATGCCCGGTCCCCGAAGTTATAGCCATTGCAGCACCTCCATAGTCACATGATCAAAATTTGGGCACTTGGCATCCCGCCTGCACTTATAACTGCAGGAGCACTTCAACTCCCCC